TGCTGCAGGTAACCTTCTTGCTAGTCGATGATCCTTTAGGGTCATATATACTAAGCTCAAAATTCTGCTACCAAAAAAGAGCGAGTTTGCTATCAATACAAGGCCAAGAAGTTAAGAGCAGACCAAGTTGGGCTGTTAGAGCATCCTCTGGTGGCAATTTAAACAGAACGAGATACAGTTTTTGCTCTTAAATATATACTGTACTTCTTTGCACTGCATATTTGACTTCTAGAATGAACAAAGAGTACTGTGAGTGCAAAATTTTGCTATGAACAGATTTCAAATAGACCTGCATTTATGGGGGAAATTTGATGTACATTCTTAGAGTTTCAACTTTCAAATGCATTAGGGACATGAAAAAGGCCAAGAAAACATAGTATTTAAGAGTATAAAGGGAAAGGAAAATACGAAAAAACATACAGAAGCATAGGTAGTTCCTTCAGTTGGAGCACATTTGGTACATTCACAGGGCACCCAGAAAAGATCACTCCCAGTATCAAGAGCCACCATGAATTTCACCCCTGGAGTCCCCAATTGAACTGTTGTATAATGTAAACTGCACCCCATAAAAATCCCAATCAAGATTTGCAGAAATAAATATCAGCAAAACACTATAATCTAAAACTTCCCAGAAAAAACACTAGGGAAGGGGAACGAAGATCCTTACAATCCCAAAGAGTTGATTTGGAAAGTGGAGTTGCCATCGGAGAAAGAAAGGGTTGTATTAACACCGGAGAGTTCGCGGTCGCGGAAGAGACGATCCCGTTGAGCTAGAACGGCGTAGTATTCGAAAGAATCTTTCACAGGCCAATGGGAGAGTTTTCCGATGGAGTTGGACCAGTTCCTGACGGGTTCAGAGAGACGGTGGTGCATCTCGAAAGTGAAGATGCGACCATAGCCGAGTTTAAAGCTAAAGAAGACCCAGATTGATATCAAGAAGAAAAAAACAATCTTTAACATTTTCATTCCTGGGTATTACAGGAGAATTCAAGTTGAGACTCTACAGAGATTTGCATTTGAAAACAGAAAATGATAATAAGAGAGAACAATACGTTTTAGTCTTTAGTAGTTTTGAAAGAGAGAACATGTTTTATTTTCAGTAAGTGTTTGGTGTTCAGAGGATCTGAAGAACCAGTGCTCCTTGTTCTTATTTTTGTTACAGTATAAGTAAAAACAGTAGCTTTCCCATGTGCACTGGTGGTAGTTGGCTGTTGAGGCCTACCCTTTAATAAGCCAATGAACTGTAAAATTAAGAAACCTGCGAAGCGGCTAGTTCTGATACGTGGCAGTATAATTTAAGATTAAAAAAGGTGTTTTTTTTCTTAATCGAAAATATAAAACTATAATATTTTAGGTTGAATGTAATTTAAAATAATATATTTTTAGTTACCAACAAAAAAATATTATGAATAATATAATATTTTTTAATTCAAGAATTTTAGGTTGAACATAATATAAAATACTATAAATTTTATCACATTTTTTATTAAATTTAAATTTATTGTTTTCTAATATTAAATTAGGTTGTCGCTCCTATAAAAGTGAGATACCCACCCTTAAATGAGAAATAGATTTAAAATATCAATCTTGAAACAATTAAGAAATCAAAACCATGGACTTTTAGAATATGGATCCGTTGGGTCTACACATATAAAGAAAGTCTTTTTACCCAATAGATCGGAATTTGCGGTCTTTTATTCGGCCTGTTGTAGGGCACACGTGCCTATCTGTTTGCCCTTTACAGTGTGATATCTGAGTTTCCCAAGAACCCAGATTTGGTTCCAAAGTTATTAGCTTTTTGCCTAAATCAAATGGCTGTTAATCCAATAACAAAGTTTTCAAGTTCATGAAGAATGAATAGCCTAAAATAATCCAATATTTAATGGTCTTCATGCAACTCCAGAGTCCAGACAACTTAGCTAAGATGGAAGTGTACAGGCAAACGCAATACAGCTAAGCAGGATCCCAGCATTTGCACGGTGTTCCACAGTGGACACCCAAAATTTTTTACCAGAAAAATCAACCTTGACCGAGTTAGCTGCATTCTTCTACTGTAAACTAAAAACAGACAGTTAAAAGAGGAAGGAAAGTGGAAACATAATATAATGATTTGAAGTGAAGAAAGAGAAGTGCAAGGAGAGTTTTTTTCATGTGATGTCCATTAAATTAGCTTTTTTTGAGAGAATGGATGGAGGACCACCAAACTTATTTAGCCAAATTCAAGGATAGTATGGATCAATTTGAAGAAAAAGGAGAACAGATAGAGACGGCTGCTTTTGCTGATTAAAGTGCAGATTGCAGAGTATGAGAAATATCAAAAGGGAAAGAATTATGTGTTAATTTAGTTTTTAACTTAAAATCTGTGTACCCTGAAAAGTTGAGAAAGGCACCTGAATCATTAAATGTGTAAACTTCTTAGAGTTTAGCTGTAGTTTTAGATTTGTGTTAAATATGTGGACCGTCTGTCTATGATACAATTAGAATAGCTTCTTACTAAGAGAGAGAGAGAGAGAGAGAGAGAGATGCCTTTTTGTCCTCACCTGCTACTGCATTTTTCAAAGCAAAGCACCCCACTACTTCCCCTAAATTGTCCTCTTATCTACTTTTACTGGCACAAGTCTCAATGACTTTAAAGGCTCCGTCTTCACTGTTTAGGTTTATCTCAGTTTTCAGGTGAAATAGGGAAATATTATATCTGAAAAAAAAGGAGAAATGATTTCGGGTTGATTTGCTAGTGTGCCTAGGAGTATTTCTGGTTGATGATGGACATAGTAACATGGACTGAGGCAAAATCATCGTCCCTTTCAGACCATTTTACATGATTTTTTTTAGCATAAGAAACTTATCATTTCTTATTGACCTGTTTTTAAAAAAAAAACCATTTTTAGGACGTAATTATACAACTAAAGTTAGCTAAAGACTTGATGCATTGCCAACATTTCTTTTATTATTATTTTTAAGATTATCTTCTTCGGTAAAGCTTAAAAGCTACAAGCATGTGAATCTACATGTGATTATTCAGTCATTTATGTGACCATTTCAATCCAAATATCAAATTAACCTTGAAGGCAGAGTATGGCTCAAGAAATATACTAATGACACTCCTAATATTAATTTACTGAAAGAATAAAAAAGCATTAACTTCCCCATATCTATTACCTCAGATTTGTTCTTGTCCGTATCTCACAGTCTCTGTAACAATAAAAAGCTTGTGAAAGAATATACGTTGGAATGCTTTTTTATATGATTTTGTACCATGAAGATTGAGTCTCACGTCTGCAGTTGGATTTTTCTACTGTTCTTTTTAGACCAACGACTGTAATCTGATAAAAGAATCCAATCGACGGTTACAATAGTCCAGATGGTGGGTGAAGTTTATACGTTACTATAACCTGCTGTAAAAGAAAAGAGCAATTATGGCTTCCTAGGGAAACTGGAAGTAAAAGTCCCCCCCCCCCCAAATATCTTATTATTATATTATACGTGGTGTCATTATATCTTCCATGTTCAAGACCATGAAATTTGCAGTGGTGGTCACGACCTTCTTAGTGAAAGTGGGGCTTGATTTTTCGTTCTTTCACATGGCTTGCGACAGTAAAACATAGCAAGGAACAGTGCTTAATAGCCTTTGTCTCTCTTACCGAAGTATCGAGTTTGACTCACTTCACGTATTGGTTGCCAGCATTTGTCTTTAAAACAAGATCTCTGCCATGTCCGCAAATCTCTTTCCTCTGTGACAGCAATGAAAGGAAAAGTAAGGGAAATAGCTGCCTTGTTAGATTAGCTATTTGCAGGAAACATACACCTAAGATAACAATCTTCATTTATTGTTACTGCAAAACAAGCAAGGCTATTTATCCAAAAAAAAAAAAAAAACAAGCAAGGCTCGTTCATGTCTAAAGAAGACTCAAAAGACCAAAATTATAACAAAAAGACAAGCTTGTTACTCTGTCTCATCCCCTGACATGACATGCTCATCTTCATTGCTCCTAATGGTTTAATCAGCTTTATTTTAGTTAAACCTCTACTTGAAACCCAAATCATTTCCCATTATCAGACACAGTACAGTGAGCCCGGTTGCAGTTCAGTTTTGCTCTTGTTTTTTCATTTTTCTGATGTGATTCTCTGCAACCTTTCCGAGACATCTTTCTGCCACAGCCAAAACCTAGTCTTTTCCTGTTAGAAGAGTTCATTAAATGGTCTAATCAAGAACCAACTTTAAATTTCACTAAAAGGAATCACCTTTGGATTTAGCTGAGTGACACAGAAAGAAATGGGCTGTGCTACTTCAAAGAAAGAGGAGGAAGATGGTGTCGTGTCACTGTGTAAAGAGAGAAAACGCCTCCTGAAATTGGCTGTGGAGCGTAGGTATGCTCTTGCAGAAGCTCAATGTAAGTATAATCAGTCTCTCTATGCGGTTGCAGCCGCCATTAGGTTGTTTGTGGCTAGGCATTCCTCTCCTTCTTCTCCTTTCCTCATCACTTTCCCGGCTACTACTTCCACTGATGAGGCTGCTGAAACCCCTATCACCAATCCATGTTCTTTAAGCAAAACCAACTGAGCCCACCCATGAGACCATTTCTTGTCACTCATCTCTTTCAACGGTTTTTATGAAGAGAGGGAATCAAGATCAAGGACATGATGAAGTTCCAAGAACTGAAGAAGGTAAAGAGGGTTGTGTTGAGTCCTCAGAAGAGCAAGAGGGTGAAGAGGAGAAGAAGATATCATTTGCGAGCATTTCTATGGCGAAGAGGCTCCACCGGCAATGCCATCACCAGAGAAGGAGTTTGCCTGGGATTTCTTCAACCCTTTTGATGAGGTGAGGACAGGGATAGTGAGCAGCTTTAGTGACAGTTCTCAGGAGGAATTGAGAGCAGTGAGAGAGAAGAGGGAATCCCTGACCTGGAAGAAGATGGCGTGAGAGTTATGAGTGAGAGAAAGGTTGAGAATGTAACAAATGCTGATGAGGCAAGTAAAAATAAGAACAAAATACAGATTTGAATATTAATGGGGATGAGCATGCCGCTAATATGAGCCAAGGTGAAAAGAATAGTTTCAGAATGATTAAGACACCTACAGCTACTAATGAGAGAGAGTTGTTGGAAGCTTTAAAGGATGTTGAGGACCATTTTCTCAGAGCATATGAATCTGGTTTGGATGTCTGTAGAATGTTAGAAGCCAACAGAGTTCAGCTGCAATCTGGTTTGGAGGAACTTAAAGGTAGGTTGTCTTTCCCTTGAGTATTTTCTCTTCTCTTTTATCATTTTCTGTTTCTTGAATATGCTTCTAACTTACATGGGTTTTCTTTGAAAATTTAGTTGTTCTTGTATCATCATCTTGCAAATTGACTACTAAAGGTTCCATTAAGTTGTTTTGAGTTTATAATATGTTGTTGCTGCTGCAAATTAGGCTGAGAATGAGGATTGATGATTTGACATATAACAGGGGAGGTTGATTGAACATGTCCAATCTATTTTCTTCATGGTCTATGAATGTCAATTTTTGCTATATGTTGATTTTTATGATTGTTTAACATGCTGACTGGCTGCAGATAGCTCGAATAAACTTATCCGGTCAATTACTTGGAGCCGGTCTCCGTTATCCCGGTCTTCTTCCTGCAAAAGCCTTGTTTCATGTAGTTCCAGAAGTTCTTCTACATGGACAGAATTAAAGACTGAGATGTTTGATGATTATGGGGGGGATGGAATCTGGAAGCCACTCTTTGACCCTAGGAAGGTTGTATGCTTGGGAAAAGAAACTCTATAAGGAAGTGAAGGTACTATAAAACACAATCTGTTACTGGTCCGAAAACGGGAGCTGTCTCTCAATCTTTCTCGAGTGCTCACGCCTTTGTAAACAATTCCTTTCTTCTTGATGTTTTGCTTAATCTACTTATATACTCTTGCATTATTCACAATGGTTCATAACATTACAGTTCTGTGTAATTGGTTCCATTCAATCGAAAAAGTAGCTTGAGTGCATTGAAAATTCATGTACTTTTAAGCATTTGTCATAGCTTCCTAACATTTTAGAATTCATATAATCAGGCAGCAGACCAGACCAGGAAAACTTATGACCAAAATGTTCTCAAATGAGAAACTGCAATGCTAAACGAGATGGCCTCTACTCCGGTGACAAAACCCGAGCTGAAGTGAAGGACTTGCATAGCAGAATTTTGGTTGCAATACGAAGTGCCGAAACAATCTCGGAAAGAATTGAAAAAGTGAGGGATGTAGAGTTACAGCCACAACTTATAGAGCTGCTACATGGGTATGAAAAAAAAATAACAAGAACAATATTTCACGTGTTAGTTTATCATTGTGATAATCTTCATTTCTTTCTCCTTCTGCAGCCTAATGAGGAACTGGAAGATAATGATGGAATCACACGAAACCCAAAACCGAATCATGTTTGAAGTTACTTCTTTCAATTGTCCTACTTATGGAAAGTTTTGTAACGACTCTCACCGTCTCGCCACACTTCAGCTTGTGGCAGAACTTCATAATTGGTGCTCTTGCTTTGTTGCATATTTATCTGCACAGAAGGCATACATTGCAGCTCTCAGTGGGTGGCTTTCCAAGTTCATTGCCCCTGAGGTAGAATTACGCTCGAAGAAGAGGTTTTCGGCCCCGGCATTAGTAGTCAATGGACCACCTTTACTCGCAACTTGTCGTGAATGGTTGGCTAGCTTGGAGAAGTTGCCGAACGAAGCTGTTATTTGTGCATTAAAAAGCTTTGGAAAGGATATGCACGCACTTTGGGTTCAACAGGGCGAGGAGCAAAAACAGAAGAGGAAGGTTGATGGACTTGCCAAGGAACTCCAGAGGAAGGCGTTGGCATTCCAGAGAACAGAGAGCAGGGTTCTTGGTACAAAACTATCAGAGCAGGAACTAGAAGTAAATGTTCGGAATCGGATCGAATATTTGGCAGAAAGAAAAAATCTGTTGGATAAGTTCAGGGAAAGAATAGATGCTGAGAAGTTAAAACATCAAACTATCATGGGACAGACGCAGCAGATAACCGTGAAAGGATTCCAAACAGGATTTTATTCTGTTTTCGAATCCTTGGTTGAATTTTCAAAGGCTTCTGTAAAAATGTATGCCGACATTGTGACTCGCTGTGAAACTTCTAATGCATCTGAGAAGGAAGATGAAAGTGAACCAAGCTATGTAGATGAAATGAGTTCTTATCTCTGGGATTGAAGTGGCTGAAACAAAGAGAAGTCCTGGAATATAATTTGGTCATATCATGCCTTATATTTTTGCATTTCTCAGATGGAGTTTCATAAATAAGTTTCCCAAAGCAGCTCGCTCCGGGAATCGTATTTGTGGAAAGTTATTGTTGTTTAATTAGCTGATTGTAAGTATTCATGATCTTAGTTTGATGCTAAAGAGAGTCACTGTTCGACGATTTGTAATTGTTTGATCTCTAAAGCTGAAAACATATAATTACTTGTTTGATTGATCTCTCAGATTCTTCTTATCATGCAATATGGCACTGTCGAGCTCAAAACATCTTAAGCTGGTAGATGAAATGCTGTCCAACTCGACATGGAACTTCTGAAATCCAACACCATCTATGCTCACAAAGCTTTGGGAATAATCCTGGTCAAATGATCTATGATTTCCTTGTTCTGTTGGTCGAGGAAACGTTGGGGTGGTGGTCGGTTTGGAGCTACTCAACGGTTGTTTGTTGGTCAAGTTGTCGACTGAATAAAGTGTTTTTTCCAGTTCTTGCCAGACCTGAGTCATTGTTGGACGGTATTTAGGAGTTTTCGACACACATCTTAAGCCGAGTTCACCCATTGTCAACATCATGTCCATGTTGCAAGGTCTGGATAAAAGAGTAGCATCGAGGATTTCTTTGATGTGGCCCCTCTCTATATTCGGCCTCGCCTGCATTTTCAACAGCTCATTTCAGTACATTATAGTGTCTGAATTGGCAGCTTATTAACAACAGTAAGGCAAAGTTATGGTTGATAAATAAACTAACCCAGTCAATGATATGATAATTAGGGTGACTTCTAGTGGAATCCACGGCTGGCCGGGCAGCAATAAGTTGCAGAAGTATAACACCAAAGCTATAAACATCACTAAAGGACTCAAATGAAAACTTGTACAATAAGCAGGATCAAGGTACCCGGGTGTTCCTTTGATCTGGCTACTAACATGTGATTGATCTCCAATAGGTCCCATTTTCACAAGTCCAAAATCTGAGACCTTAGCTTCAAACCTTTCTCCAATTAAGATGTTGCTAGGCTTAATATCTCGGTGGATTATGCTTGGCTTAATCCCATCATGCAAATGAGCTATTCCTGTTTAAAAAAATGAAAAATCATGTTTATAGTAAAGTTTAAACTAATTTTATGTGGGAAATTTACCTTTAGCAGCTCCAATGGCTATGTTCACTCTTTGCCTCCATGTCAAGTTTTTTCCACCTCTTCCTGCACTCCAAAAATGAGCAGAAATGAGTTTTTTTAATTGATTTCTTGTCTGTGAAAGGTGTTTCAAGTGGGAACTTACCCATGATATACTCAAGTAAAGAACCATGTGGTACATATTCATAAACCAATATTTTTGCACCTTTTGGTCCTGTTTCAAATGAAGTAAAAAAATTCTTAGGTTCTTAGACAATTGATTGATTAATCAATGATTTGAGGCTCAATATACATACCGGGTTCTTCACAGAACCCCACCAAACCTACAAGATTTGGATGATTTACTTTCCAAAGAAGCCTAACTTCTGTTTCAAGAAATCAAAAAAAAAAAACCAAGTCAATCTACTTGAGCTGTGGTAAATAACCTAAATTATGTTGTAGAATGCATAAGGCTTGCTTACCATTTCTGAATTCTTCAACGCTTTGGTATGATTCGGCATGAGCTCTCTTGATTGCTAATGTACCTTCAAATTCAAAGGTTCCTTTATAGACATTGCCAAATGCACCAGACCCCAACAACAGTCTGCACTAAAGTTTTTGGTAGCCTTTTCTAGCTCCTCGACTTGGAAACGCCTCAACCACAATTTATCGGCTTTCAGACTTCCTGATTGTACAACGATTTCATGAAATGATGAGCAAGCAATTCAATGGAAGAATGATTCTACAGATGTGATTAAACCTTTACCTTTATGGCTACCATCTTCGTCTGCAAAAGAACAAGAAGGAAAATCCCAACAGCAAGGCAGCTAAAATGGCAATGATAAGAATCACCCACGTTTGCTTATGACTATGAGCATGGTCATGTGTTTGAGAATCCTCTAGCAAATGAAATCTCTTGGCCATGCATGTGATGGAATGAGAAAATGTCTCCTACCCCAAACTGCTAAATCATTTCATGAAGAATGTGGTTGCTTTTCTTGTGATATCTGAACAAAGTCCATGGCAGATGAACACAGTAAATGAAGCAAGTAAGCTGTATCAGTTGTTTCCTATCTGTTATTTATTATATACAGTGCCCCCATGGACTTGGTCTTCTCTTGAGACGGCACATAGGCCAAAGAATACAACAAAATTTTCATGTCATTGCTGGAAGAAAAAAAGGGGGGGCATAGAATCTACATGTTCTCCGGTTCAAATCTGACATGTAATCACAACATACAGGGGTGAACCAAGAAGCTGACGGAAGCGGCCATCTACCTGAAAATTTTAAATTTTCATAGAATTGAAGTATTTTCTTTATATTTTTTTATTGATAATATGTATTCTTCTTTCTTATATAAAATCCTAAGTTTGTCCTTGAATCCATCTGGTCTTTGTTGTGCCTTACATCACATCTTTGTGTTGTTATTAATTCGGTTCTAGATTCCGAGGAATAAGTTAGTGTCACTGAAGCATCTAAGGACCACGTAAGTGGATTAATATATGAATCTTTAAGGCAATACATGGTTGAATGATTCCATATAAGACTCCATAAAAAATGGACGAGTGAGGCAGATGATGGACTAAGCGAATTAATTATCATAAATATTTAATCGTGGGATAAGATCCAGAGCAGGTAAGATGAAGCCCTTTCATGTCCTCTTGTTGTTGTTGTTTTGATTTTGATTTCATTATCAGTTTAAGGGGTTTCATTTATATGCCAATTATTTTTTTTTGTCACTTAACTTGGTTTTATTTTTGTTTTGATCAAATAATTTTAAAAGTTTTCAATTTGATCCCTCTTTTTTCTAATTGTTCTCTTTTGGTCACTTGAAGGTTTACATCAATGACATCATGTTGGATCCCTATAAAAATTATTTTTCTTTATTCTTTCTTCTTTTTTCTTCCTCTCATTCTCTCTCCATCTGCCTGAACCAACTTAGATTTGACCACCATCGTCGACGGTAAATGAGTTTCAAATTTTTCAACCAAACTCATTTTGTCCTCCTAAACGTGAATATTATGCATGTTTAACCGAAAAAATCCTCAAACTCCATGAATTTACTGTTGGCATCTTCAATTTCTTATTCTCATATCTTGTCCCAAGATGGGCTTATTTATCGTTGGTATCTTCACATGAGATTCGGATCAAATGGAGGGTAAAAAAGCTTACGTGGATCCTATTTGAATTATTACACGGTCCATGTCGTTATCGTCATGGCAAGCAACGTCTATGTTATCATCCCTTTAATGAATTACGGTGGATTGATATAATTAAATGTAAAACTAAAATTGAATGCTATAATTAAAAAAAATTAAAAATTCAATTGTGTAAAATCATCAACAAGTTCAGTGATATCTGATGTACTATGTAGATTAAAGGTAGAAATGTAATCTAATAATATAAAGACATTAAAATTGAAAAATTGAATAGTCTCACGAGGTACTCGAGCCTAGTACTATGGTGATAGAATTCGGCTTGACCAATTATAAATATTGAACTGAATTCGATTTTTTCCAATCAAACTCGAATAACTTTCAAACCATTGTGTAACACGGTGAAGTTTAACCCATGGATCGTTTTCCTTTTAAAGAGGTTGGTTGATAGTTTCAGGGATTGTTCTGTGTGGGTAAGATTCAGACATCAATAGCAGAGGTCAACCCAACACAAACGCTATCTTTTTTCTGTAAATTATGTTGAAATTTGATTATTTGTAGGCTTATTTATTGCAGAACTTTCCAAAAAGTAGTGTTGCTTTAAGCTTTTGTTTTTCCGTTCTCTTTTGTGGACCAAACATGAGAGAAACAAACAATATCAATATAGCAGTTTTTGCATGGGTCAAATGGAAACAAAATTGCAGTTTTTGCAGCACAATGGATGCATTGGAAAAGTAGGTGAAAACACTTGCCAATGTCCATCAGTAGCATAGTATCAGCGACCAGACAGTCTTTGTTGAGATGCCATCCGCCATTACTGCAATTAGAAATGTATCAAGATATTAATGTGGTATCTGGCTGGCGTTTCACAAATTGATCATGTTTTTTTTAGCTCCAAGTCATATTACTGTGGCATTATCAATCTTCATCCGACACGACACTATCTCTCAATGTCGATTCTCGTTTTAATTTGATTGTAAGGAATTGAATTATGATCATTGCAAACTAAAGTTTGATACTGCAATTTGCTTAAACATGTTATTTCGTAAAATGTAATTTAAATACATAAATTTCATATAATATGCATTATAATACATTCGGGTCTACAACAGGATTTTCTCATAACCATGCTTATTTGCAAGCACACAAACAAATGAACGGAGGTTTCACTTACACGGAACTAAAAGGACAACGATATATTTTCCTGATATGAGGTAATGCAATCAATTGAGGGTTGAAAAAGCTCCTCCATCTCAATGATTTAAAAGACACCAAGTGATGTAGGATACAATGGGGCTGTTTTAATTGAGAAAGTTCGGTATATAAGTGGATGCACGTCGCCTTCGATTGTCCGTAGACTCAACAGCTGGTTGGTTTAAGTATGCATACTTGCTATTCGTCCACCTGCACATGATGTTTGAGAAGCAAATATTATGGTTCCATCAAATTTGTACAAGAATAAAGCATTTTATAACTTGTTCTGAACTACTAGCTACTACTGGTTTGTTTTATACGATATGTTCCAAACACAGTTTGTTAATTTTTTTGAAGTTTTTCTATATAATCGAGGGATCATGAGAATGTCTATCCTGCTATGTATCAGTTCTCTGCTGGATTTAGTGTTGTTAGTTTCATCTGCTGATTTCTCAAACAAAGTTTCTGCATTTAATATGTTTCCTTAAGAAAACTGTATGACATCGAGATTTGATGCTGATTTCCCATGTATGTTTATTCTCATCAGAATGACCAAAATCTTGAAGAGAAATTTACTTACCAGTCTTTATCCCCACACGAACTTCATTGTTCTTATCATTGCCTTTGCTGTCATTAGTTGGGGCTGTGATATTCTGCTTAGCGTTGTACTCTTCTCGCTGACTCCTCGAAGCTCTTGTAGTCTTCCTCCTACACGTTACACAATATTGTTGAACAAGGTAACCGAGTGACACTTATCAAAAGATGTAACAAAGTGACTCGAACGTTTAGCTATGAGAGAGACTTTACTAAACTAACTCCTGGCTTTCTTATGCCAATAGAACACTCAACAACATGAATCAGTAAGCTGATAACTGTTTTCTGTGACAACACATCAAAGCTAAAGGAGTATCATATTATCTTACCGACAGATTGCGGGCCCTTTTGCGTGCTGCGGCCTTGATGGCTGCCAGGAGGTGATCCTCCTCCTCGCGTGTTTCTGCCTCCAGAATTTGGCAATCTCACGGTTTGTCACACTGTCTGCACTAGTCTTTCTTGCCCAGGATCTTGGAAGCGGTGGTGGAGGAGGTGGAGGTGGGGGGATTGCTAGTTTATCAGTCCTCCAACTTCATTTGCTTCATAATCCTAAACTTTTAGTCGAATATGCTACTCACGTTTGCTCAAGTGTAAGATGATCAAATGAAACAAGAAATAATTAGAGGATCGACAAATATATTGAAGACAAGGAAAGCAAGATTCATAACCTAACCCCCCAACCCCCAAGAGCTACCAATCCAACCTAACGTTCAACCATGAGTGATATGTTCAGCTCGGTTTTGAGTTTTCGGAAGCTTTTATGTAGTGTCTAACCAGGATACAAGTTCATGGATGTGAGTGAATGAATGACCGCAACTACAAGCATTGACTGGTAGATGCAATTTCAAGTTACAAAATCGACAAGTGAAGACAAGATAAAAAATCTTCATTCCTATTGAATTTGTTCAGTCAAATACATACTACTGGCGATTTCAACTCAAAAACTGATTCTGAAACAGATGAATGAGAATCATCGTTGAATCTTGGTGTTAATGGACATTTTTTAGTCAGACAAGTTCAAGATGATGAACGTTGCATGGTTTGGTAAGACCGGAAAAACTTATGTTCGTTTTAATTCAGAACTCTTCGTTTGTGCTAAACATAAACCTAAGAACAAACAACATCATTCAAACCTAAAAGTAAATAACAAGTAATCAATCTCATAAATCTAGGGAATTCCAAGATTGATTTTGTATAAAAATATCCTTTATTCATTGAATAGAGAAACCCAAGTTCATAAATATACACAAAACCCCAACTTTGATCTTCGAAAAATTCTTCAAGTTTCAGTCGTGATCTTAAGCGCTTTGGTCTTGAACCGATACTCGGGGCTCTGGGATCACCTGACTCGGCCCAAATGCCACTGACCGGGACTATCCGTGAGAGGAAGGCCGTCATCATAAATATGACCCACGAGTTTACCACAGCCGTTGTACTTGATCTTGGTTCGGTTCCGTTGGATTCCCCAGTAATCAATGGTCTCGAAAAAAGGCCTGAGCTTATCTTCTTTCTCGAAGTTGAACTTGGTCTCGTCGACCATGGCGAAAGAAAGGGTGCCCTGTTTCCCGCCTCGAAGTAGCAATCTGAGGGAATAATGGGTTGTTCTTAGGTTCAGGTCGGTTCCGCACTCCCTACAGCTGTAGATGGAAGCCATTTTTGCACCGGAAATGTAAGGTTTTTGATTGAAGGATGAACTGGATTTTATGGTAAAACCGAGCTTCGATTCGGATTTGACGACAGCGTTGACGAAAGAGAGATGCGTTCGGCAGATTTTCAAAAACGCGTTGTTTCAGAAATTTTGTTTATATATCCGCCCAGCTTAATTAAGTAGTAATTATGCCCCATTTTTTCTTTTTAAAATTTCCCATTTTATGACGGGGCCAGTGACGTTAGGTTCTCATTTTCAAATTTTTTACACAAATATATCTTATTTGAAAATAAATTTTCATTCTAATACGCATTGTAAATTATTTTTCAGTCTAACATTATACGAGCACGAGGTTGAGAAGCGACAACGTGACTTATCACATATCAAAAAAAGTAAATTACTTTAGATTTAATCTAAAAATATATATAATTGTTATTATCTTTTTAAATAATATAAAATTATTTATATATATTTTTTATATTTATATTGGTGATAAAAAAAATTCTAGATTTGTCATTGCATTTAACAACATTAAGTTTAAAAATATTTTAAAACACGAAAACCAAATTACATAAATACACACTGCACAATTTAAAAATCTCCATATACATTACATTACATTGATAGAAATGGTAAATATATGAGATATCCGTGTCGTATTTTAAACATTCAAATGATTTTCCTATCAAATGTATAAGGCGGTTTTAATTTGTTGTGAGAACATAAAAAAAATTCTAAAGAAATATATTTTATTGCAAAAAATAAAACAAACATTTAGACTAAGCTTTTACACCGAAGAAAGAAATTATATATGACTTGATCTAAAAGAAATAGAAAAAAAAAGAACTTTATTTTTCCTCAAGCCTGAATGAGACTATACACTGGTACCAACTATATATTAACAATGAATTCCTAAAAGAACAAGACAACATCATTTGAACCTCAAAAGTAACGGACATGATAAATTTAATAAAATGTTATTAATTTTGGATAAATGCATCTTTATTTATCCGGAAAACACAAGCTGCCAGCAATGCATCTTATTTATCCGGAAAACACAGCTGCCAGCACATACAACGCAACCACAAAACAAGTTAATATTGATTTTCTATTATAAATATATTATATTAATTCATAGGTAATTGAACTTCACATGTAAGATATAGTAATATCATGCATATATAAGAACCAACCAAAAGAAGAATCTTAAACAAAATCTTCAAGTTTCGGTTGTGATCTTAAGCGCCTTGCTTTTTACTATTAATCACATTGTTAAAAATAAATTATTCACTCACTTATTTCGATTATCAGATTAAATCTAACTGAACGTTGAATCAAATGATTTAGATAAATTAAATTCGAATTGCTTTCGTTTAAATCACTTCGGTTTGAATTATTTTTATTCGGATGAATTTAGATTTAAGTTACTCTCGATTTGAATTAAATCATTGAGGTCTGTTTTGATTCAATTCAAATTGTTTCAAATATCGAATCATGGGATCAAATTTTTTAGAGATGTAGTTGAAAGTTGAAACCCTTCAAGAATTGAGCGCAGGACTTAGGAATGTAGCTCAAGCAGAATTGCCAATTTATAACTTTGAAGTGCAAGTGTTGCTATAAAGATAATCAATCATCTCTGAAACTCGAAACATATTTACACGCCCGTGTATACTGCTATATCTAAATCAATAATTATAGGGTACAGGGTCAAGGTAGGGAGCTTGAAATAAAATTAAAATGATTAAATTAGGGTCGAAATAGAATTAGAGCCTTGCGAGTCCATACGGCAAAGCTTTAAGCAGAGTTGATTGATTAGCATGGGTGGAGATGCCCCTGGAACGCCACCGTTATTGCTGTTTCCTGCTGTGGCTTCCGGATTAACGGCAGTAGCCGGAGGACTGCCGATGGTGGTATCACCGGTAAAGTGTTTGAGGCCTCGATATCATAACCTGTCAGTCGGATCTCATAGTTTAATAAGATCTTAACAGAAGAACTAGATTATGCGAAAGTGCACAAGAGAATTTACTTACAATTAGATGCTTTCCCCCCAAGTACCATCTTCTCACGATCGAAGACTATATGATATCCGGTCATGAAATTTCTGCATATGAATTAACAAAAAAGGTAATGTAAGAAGGAATCGAACATTTACGGACTCAATAAACCAAGAAACGGAATGTTTGAACACAGCTACATGATTTCATAGATGAGGATCGACCCCACTACCAGTCTGGGTTTTATTAGATACAGGATGAATGCATGTTCCCGAATGTGATACTGCATAGGAGATTCATTATAATTATACAGTAAGTTTTGCAAATGCGTGATGTAAATTGTGTCCGGAGAGACTTACGTCCGATGATATTCACGCTGTCACTCTTCACGACAGCGTATAAGCTGGTCATTCAAATATGTAAATGAGGTACCCGAGTCAAAAATGGCATTGAACTCGAGATCTCCAGCACTTCCTCCAACTTTTCTGAGTGATGCTAACATTGTAAGAAGGCTGAAAAAGAATATCAAGAAGAGAAGCATCAGTTAACCAACAAAAAAAAAAGAAACAGTATCTCAAACTGCAGGCATGGCTGCACGGCAAACAAGTTCCGTATCACTGTCAATGCGATCAGCCACATAACAACTTACTGTGATTGCATGAGATTAAGTGGTGATTCTCCTTGATCGGAGCTGCCCTTATCACCAAAAGTTATTCTTCCAACCCCATCAGTCCGAAACACAAAGAAAAAGATTCGAAGCAAGCTTTTCGTTTGCTATATTGGAACTGGATATTGTCCAGCCCAGCCCGAAAAGACCATTAGGAGCTGCACCATTTAAGAACGATCCAGTCTGAACCTTCCCGCAACTGCAATAGTAGCACATCCAATCATAAATCCAACAGCAAGTAACATACAAAGAAATCGATATCAAGTAAAGACTAAGAGTGGATATCACGCTGATCACAGTTATAAATCACAAACTGGAATTATTTTCGACAACAGCACAGCGAGATTTGCCGAATTTACAAACCATCCATAATGAAAAGGAAGTAAAAGTTACAAACCCGAAAGTAATCCTGGCTTCGACAGGTTGGTTTCATCATCATCTGTAGTTAAGTGCAGACATCCTCCACCAAAACTCCCGTCGATGAAGTGCCATCGGATAGATAGTCGACTTGATAAGGACAAAATTTGAAGGTGAAGAACATCTTCTATGATGTTCACACATGGGACTGTACAGGAAACCTTTGAGCTCGTAGATGATGTATTAGGGCTGTAGATATTGAACTCTATCGACTAAAACACAAAATCCAATCAAAATGGCTGTTCATGTATCAATGAAATAGCTATAAATCATGGGAATTCACACTACTGGAATGAGAGCATAAGGGATCCACTAAGTGTATAACTTCCATAACTTTTCTTATAATAATATTTTAATAATTCAACGTCAAATTTATCAATATAAATATACTTGTTATATATGTAAAACTACAAATCAGTCCCATTTTTTTTGTCATATGATCTAAAAAACGGTCGTTTACCGATATGATTACTCAAACTTAGCCTGCATAATTTAAGTGAATAGAATATTAAATATGACCGTCAAATTATCGAAATATAATCTATACAAAAATTATTTTAACTTTATACTAATTTAAGTGAAGCACCCTCATATATTGGAGTAATTAATGGAATAATACTCATAGATCTTTTTTTTATTAAGCAAGAGAGATAACATTTCCATGATAAATGTTAAGATTTGAATCTAAACAAACTAGAACCATACGAGTATTTTTAACCACTCAATCAATTAATGGATCTTAGATATTCTCTTTTATTTGATGAAATGAATGAAAATAAAAGATAAACAAAGGGTAAAAATAGATTTACCGGGCCACCGGTGTTCCTATGCCTTGGACACAACTGGGAGCAATCGCATGGCAACCAGAAGAGATCGCTGCCGGTGTCGAGTGCCACCAAAATGACAAAGCTGGCTTCCCCACCGATACATTTGCGTAATGCAAACTGAAATTCCCAAAAATAAAAATATAAAAAGAGATGAAATATCTAGAGATTAAATAACGATGGAAAATAGAAAGATATTCCACTTTTTCTCGCCAAACAAACAGGAAAAAAGCATGAAATTCGCTACAAAATCCACTTCGGACAATCCAAGAACTACAAAATCAAAAATATTACTTATACAGTAAAAAAAAAACTTAACGGAAAAGCAGTGTCAAAACCATGAAGAAGAATACAATCCCAAGGAGTTCAATCGATAAGTCTCGTTTCCGTCGAGGAAAGTAACGGGCGTCCGATCATTCGCCATCGCCAATGACAGCCCTTGATTCTATCGCGGTGGACCATGGCGGTGTACTCCGGACTTTCCTTCACCGCAATTCATCGATGGCCAGGAATTCCTTAACTGGATCCGAATATCTATGATGGATATAAAACCCGAAAGTACCGAATCCGTACTGATTCCCGCGCTTAACCCCAACACCACTAACAATAAGACACAACTGTGTCTGAAACGACTAAACTCACACATGCCTGAAAACTTTTCCTAAATTGGCCACTCAAACAAAAAGAAAACAAAGGTTTTCACTTCCTGATAAAAAAAAGTGGGACAATAATTTTTTTAGTTTCTGAGGGAAACCAAATGTTGAGGGAAATGTGTTGGTTTGGTTTGAGTTTAAGTGAAACCAAATTGGAAACGAAACGAAAAAGAAAACGCGGTGTCACCCCCAACCCCAACTCTGGTCGTGTAGGTGGGTCCCGCGTAAACGATTTATTTTATTTTATATTACTCTATTACAAAGTTTTTTAATTTTTGGTGGGATACCCCTTATATTTTGGGAGATTTTCATTTTGGCACCTGATTCTTTAGCCCTTCAATATTCAAGCCGTGGAAATTTATAAAGAATTTTCCAATTGATACCTATATTTTTGCATTACTCCACGTTTGTTTAAGTATTTTTTTATCTTTTTATTATTCAAGTAGATTATGCAAGCAATTCAATAAATCCAAATTGTAACTTCTTTTAACAATGGTCAATCGCTAGCT